CTTTGGGCTGGTGCCATCTGGGAATGGTCATGAGATCAAAAATCCCGGCTGAGAGAGAGCTGAGAGCAGGAAGGGGAAACTGAGCCGGGGGGAAAGGGCAGAGGCTGTGCCATGTGCCAGACCAGAGGGACTCTGCGTGATCTGCAGAAGACAGCACAGGCCTGAGCCAGGCAAGGCAGCTACAGTGCCTGCAGGGGACCTGGTGGCACTGACAGACAGGTCTAGGACAAGACCCCAGCCCTGCCACCCACACTGAGGCTCTGTGGGAAATCTCTTCCTCTCTGGAATGATGGGGATCCATATCTCTAAAGTAAGCACTAACCCCCAGCTTCCACAAACATTCCCAGAAGTTAAAGGGTGAAAAGGGGCCATGGGAACTGTTGGCTCTTGGGAGAGGGGTTAGGATGAGGGTGCACCCCAACAAAGATAGTAACCTCTTTGGTGACCTGTTCCTTCTTAGATGGCTGAAGGGTCAGCCCCAGTGGACAGACCCACAGACACCAGCCCTGATCACTGAGCCATCCTTCCACCTGGAGTTCTCCTCCACCAGTCTCCCAGCTACTCCTATGACATCATTGGTAACCAATCAGAGGCCCAGATATGCAGGTGAGGGCCAGCATTACTTTCAGAGCTGATAAATCTTCAGGCAAAAACAAAGGACATGTTCAAAATACAAGTGTGGTGCATGATTCCTAGTGTTGAGGGAAGACATTTCTAATTCCTGTTGTATTTTCTACCCTGCCTTTGACACCAAGGAAGCCAGTGTGACCCCTTAGAGGCCCAGCTGCTGTACCCTGATGCTGGTGCCAGTGTCCATCACACAAAGCCCACAGCAAAGGGCAGAGGGAGAGTCTAGGCTGACCATGCACATTGGCCTGTTATGTCCAGCATGTTAAGTTCAGCCCTGGCTGTGTGATCCAGGGAATGGCACTTAACCTTTCTGAGATTGAAGTTCTTCTGGAAAAATTCCTGTTCTACACACTTCATAAGCTGCCTGCAAAAATAAGATCCAAGAAGCGGGGAGCTTGAAAACAAATCACTGGGAGGAGCAGCTTGTCCAGAGGGGAGGAAGCATCATGGTTTAGCAATAGAGAGGGTCCACATGGGCCTGAGTTGCTTGCTCTGCTCAGCGTCCACCCCTCTGCCCCACAGGGCTGTCACCACCGTCTCCATGCAGTTCATAGAGAAATCATGCCAGAAATCCCTGCCTGCAACTTACACCTGTCAAGGCAGAGCTGACAGCAGGAGTGGGCTCAAAGCCAAGGCAGCATCTATGAGCCACGATCCAACAGTCTAGAGAGCCACAAGGGGGCCAGACAGAGGCAGAGCAACAACACAACTGACTCACATGGGAAGGTCCTGGGTTTGTGTCCTGCAGCCTTCCCGTACATACTGAGCTCATGAGCCCATGAACCAGGCTGGCTAAGGCTGGGGGTAGATCTTGGGGTGAAGACCCTGTTGGAGCTGCCCTCCATGGAAGTAGTAAATGTTATAAACGTTTTTTAAAATTAGGGCCAGCCCATTGCATGGTGGTTAAGGTGGCTGGATCCCATATGGCTAACTAGGCAGTTAATAGTCCTGGACCCTATGACTTGAGAAACATGCTGAGCATGTGTGTATGTATGTATTTGTGCCCAAAATCCAGAGAAGAGAATGAAGGAGAAGGGATGGCAAATTAAAAAAAAAAAAAAATTAGAGATCTTCCAAGGGGAGGATACTGGCAAAGACCAGTCAGTGCGTCTCCAGCAGAGCAGGGCCACCACCTCTCAGCTCCTTCACTAGGGGTCCTGCTCCTTCTCTCAAAGGGTCACCAGGGTCCCTCACTTCAGCCAGCACCCACTGCATGCAATGCAGCCAAGTCCCATGCCTCCCAGTCTCCTCCTCCCAGAATCACACAGGGTAATGCTGCACAGAGAGTACCTACCACTATTGCAGCAGGGGTAAGAAAAAATGAACTGCAGGTGGCATGGTGGTTAAGGTGCTGAACTCCCATATAGCTGACCCATGGTTCGAACCTCAGACCTAGTGGCTTGGTTTCTCTCTCTCTCTCTGATGAGTGCACATGCTCCATAGCAAGTTTTAAATTAATACTAATAATAAATAAAAATAAATAAATAATTCTTTAAGAAAAGAAAAAAGAAAGAAAAAGTGAACTGCTAAGCTTCTCTAAGGGCCACTTCACAGACACTGTTTCCATTTACCCCTCAGTGCCAGAGTAATACAGAATTTCCATTCCACAGATGAAAACACTGAGGTTCACACAGAAGTGAAAGTTAAAGGCTACCATGGCAAGTAGCAAGCCTGGGACATCCATCCAGGGCAATTGTGAAGTTTAATCAAATGGGACACAGGGCAGGTGGGACTTCTGTGGGGCAGGGTACACTGTAGAATGAGAGCAAGCTCTGGCCCCAAGTTCCAGGCCCAGTCCCACTTCCCCACCCACGCGGGGCAGGCAGCCTAAGTCCAACTCCAGAGAACTGGGCTGACCCATCAGATCTCTGTACTGTGTTCTGAAGACCCCAACAGTCCAGTCTCCCTGCAGTTCAGTCCAGTAAAGGAAAGCCCTGACGCCATTCTACAGAACTCTCCAACAACACTCTCCAGACCAGCAGCACCACACAGTTGAGATCTAACTAGAATGCAACTTCTCGGCTTCACCTGGACCTTCTGAACTAGAAATTCTTGTGGGCTCCCACCTC